TATGTATGTATATGTGTACCGTGTATATGTATGTTCTATGTGTGTACTATGTATATGTATTTACTGTGTATATGTATGCACATGTATGTAGTATGTACTACTATGTGTGTACTGTATATATGTTCTATGTATGTACTATGCAGGGGCGGACTGACCATTTGGAAACTCGGGCAGTGCCCAAGGGCCGGGGGTCAGTAGGGGGCCCATGAGATGCCCCTGGTACCTTTTTCATGGGCTTTTTTGAGTTTGGGCAAGGACACAGGGGACTTATGATCCCCTATTGCCCGGGGGCCCCATGAGTTGTCAGTCCGCCCCTGGTACTATGTATATGTATGTATGTGCTATGTTTATGTATGTATGCTCAATGTATATACTGTGTATATGTATGTATAGTATGTAAATGTATGTAGTATTATTATTATTATTCTTATTATACAGGATTTATATAACACCAACAGTTTGCTCAGCGCTTTACAATATAACGGGAGACAATACAGCAACAATACAGTTCAATACAAGAGGGTTAGGAGGGCCCTGCCCCTTGGAGCTTACAATCTAAGGGTATGTGTATATGTACTATGTATGTGTATGCACTACGTATGTATGTACATGTACTGTGTATGTATGTACTATGTACCTGTATGTACTATGTATGTATTATGTGTGTGTATACATATATGTACTATTTTTATGTATGTATGCACTATGTATATGTACAGTATATGCACTGTGTATGTAATGATGATGTGGTGTGAATGGAGCCTTGATGAAGACGTAGGATCCCTGTTCTTCCTCCTCCTCCTCCTCTTCCCCGTGGTGACATGAAGGGTGACAGGTGTGTGTACAGATGGCCCCGGGTAGGAGCTGCCCATACAGACACGGAGGTGTACTCACTCACTGCTACAACCACCACACTGCGCAGGCGCGAGGAGCCGGCGTACGTCAGGCTGCTTGACAGACAGCAGCGTTTGCAGATTTGCGGGAGGAGGAGAGCGGATGAGGAGAGATGACAGGAGATGGGGACACGGTGTGCGGAGTGTGATCGCTGGGTGATGAGGAGAAGACAATAATCCGGGTTTCCTCCCTCCCTCCATCCTCCGGTGGTGATGATGATGGTGCCGGGTGTCAGGGATCCGCAGGAGTGATGAGGAGCGGGCTGGGATGCTGTAGCGCTGCTGTAGTGGTGGCGCAGCCCGGGTAGGGGTCCCATGGAGAGTGTGAGTGCCGAGCCCCGGCCGCCGAGCCATGCCGATAAGAAGAGGCTGAACCGAGCCCCGTCCCCGGCCAGACCCTTCCTGAGGGACCCCCACCCCAGGGCCACCCCTAACAAACCCTCCCTGCTGCCCCCCAAGTCCCCCACCATCCCGGCCCCCGGCCGCCTCTCCCGGCGCAGCGCCCCGGCCAAGGACAAGCCGAGCCCGGCCAGAGGAAAGGCGCCCCCCGCAGGCTGCGGGAAGAGAGGAGGGAAGAGCGGGGCCCCCCGGAGAGACCCCCCATCCTCCCCGCTGACTGGTGCAGGACGGAGCCGGAGCTCGGGCCAGAGACTGGAGAGGCCGGGAGCGGGGGGGACACTGCGGATCGTCACCCACACCGACAGCAGCTCTGACCTCTCCGACTGCCCCTCCGAGCCCCTGTCCGACGAACACCGGCACCCGCCGGCTCACAGCAGCGACAACGAGTCGGCCTCCAGCGTCGTGCTCTCCGTGCCGGAGATCGTGCTGCTGGTGGGAGCCGAGAAGAGCCGAGCGGGGAACCATGACGGCCGCGGAGCAGGGAAGAGTCCCGCACAGGCGGGGCCAGCACAGGAGCAGGAGTTGCTCAGGGAACTGGAAGAGCTGCGATCGGAGAACGACTATCTCAAGGTAGGTCCCTCCAGGCTCCCCATACTGGGTAGTTGGTGTCAGGTGTTCCTCTGGAATGGCTTCTCTCCTATCTCACTCTACTGATTTCATACAAAGAGAAGTTCAGGATTCCAAAAAATAATCACCTATACTCACCTAGGTGGATGCAGCATGGATCCCATAATATATCTGTCCCCCGCTGGGTTTTCACTGAGAACTGAGTGATCAAATACCTCTGATCGCTCACTTCTCGGTTACCTCTGAGCACAGAACCGTGACTGTCAGTCTCCAGCTCTCTGCTTTGCCCCTCCAGCACTTACTGGAGCATGGGGTAGCGCTGAGATCCCGAGCCAGCTGCCGGTCTAGAATCTGGGGGAATCCCGACATTATTGTCAGGATCCCTGCAGAGCCTGGACTGGCCGAGTGACATCGGCTAACAGCAGACTTTAGCCTGAATCTGGGTCACAGGAGAGCATAATGAAGTGTCCTGTGATCCATAGAAGTAGGACAAAAAGAGCTTTGGCCATACTTCTCCTTTAGCCTAGGTTCAAAATTCTGCAGGTCGGACAAGCCCACAAAATCACGTGTTCCCAACCCGCGGGTAAAATGCAGCAGATGGGGTGCCAATAATTCTTAACCACTTCAAGACCGGACACTTTTACCCCCTTCCTGACCAGGGCAATTTTCAGCTTTCAGCGCTATCACACTTTGAATGACAATTACGCGGTCATGCAACGCTGTACCCAAATGAATTTTTTACCATTTTTTTTTAAACAGATAAAGCTTTATTTTGGTGGTATTTATTCACCGCTGGGATTTTTTTTTTTTGCTATGTAAATGAAAAAGTCCAAAAATTTTGAAAAAAAGTGTTTTTTTTTATAAAATTTTGCAAATAAATAATATTTCATCATAAATCTTTGCCAAATTTATTCCGTTATCTTTTTAGTAAAAAAAAAAATCCAAATTAGTTTATAACAAAAATTATAATTTTTAAACTTTTTTTTTTACATTTTTATATTATTATTTTTTATTTTTTTTTACATACTGTCACCCTAGCAGTACAGTGTCACCATGGTGACACTGTACTACTTGTGGGGGGTGATGAAGATTTTTTTTTTTTTTTTACACATTGCTTTTACACCCATATAGGATGTAAAAGCAATCATTTCTCTTTCTCTCTGTGTGCATTCATGCACTCATTGAGAAGTACTGACTGAGCTGTGATTGGTCACAGCTTGTCACATGGTACAAGCCTGTTGTGAATAGGCTTGTACCATGTGACCTCTGTGATCATTCACAGATTTCACACGTAGTAAGCAATGATGTCACAAGTGACATCTTGCTTACTACTTTGCATGTGATCACTGATTGGCCAATCAGTGATCACATGATCGGGACCTCGTACAGAGGTCCCGTCCGACGATCGGCGTTTCACTGTGTCCGGAGGACACAGTGGGCACCGGATCGCGGTGCTGCGCGCTCCCAGGGAGCACGCACAAGCAGGGTGCGGGGAGGCCGTTTATAGACGGCCACCCGACCCTGCAGTGCCACCGTCCGGCCGTTTATATGCAACGGCCGGTCGGGAAGTGGTTAATGGCACCCCCACACATCAGCAAATGCAACACATTTTGGGGTGAGCCAAATCACATGGTACTACGACATCATGCAACTCAGTGCAGTGCAATCTAACCACTTCAATACCGGACACTTTCATCCCCTTCCTGCCCAAGCCAGCTTTAAATGACGATTGCGCAGTCATGCAACACTGTACCCAAACCAAATTTTTTCATTTTTTGAGACAAATAGAACTTTCTTTTGATGGTATTTAATCACCAGTTGTTTTTTGTTTTTTGCTAAATGAATGAAAAAAGACTGAACATTTTGTAAATAAAAACCTTTTTCTTTGTTTCTGTTATAAAATTTTGCAAATAAGTAATTTTTCTTCTTCACTGATGTATGCTGGTGAGGCTGCACTGATGGGCATTGAAAGGCTGCACTGATGGGCATTGAAAGGCTGTGCTGATGGGCACTGATAGTCTGCATTGATGACGCTGTACTGATGGGCATTGAAAGGCTGTGCTGATGGGCACTGATAGTCTGCATTGATGACGCTGTACTGATGGGCATTGAAAGGCTGTGCTGATGGGCACTGAAAGGCGGTGCTGATGGGCACTGATAGTCTACATTGATGAGGCTGCACTGATGGGCACTGAAAGGCTGTGCTGATGGGCACTTATAGTCTGCATTGATGAGGCTGCACTGATGGGCATTAAAAGGCTGTGCTGGTTGGCATTGAAAGGCTGTGCTGATGGGCACTGAAAGGCTGTGCTGATGGGCACTTATAGTCTGCATTGATTAGGCTTCACTGATGGGCATTGAAAGGCTGTGCTGATGGGTACTGAAAGGCTGTGCTGATGGGCACTGATAGTCTGCATTGATTAGGCTGCACTGATAGGCATTGAAAGGCTGTGCTGGTGGGCACTGAAAGGCGGTGCTGATGGGCACTGATAGTCTGCATTGATGACGCTGTACTGATGGGCATTGAAAGGCTGTGCTGGTGGGCACTGAAAGGCGGTGCTGATGGGCACTGATAGTCTGCATTGATGACGCTGTACTGATGGGCATTGAAAGGCTGTGCTGGTGGGCACTGAAAGGCGGTGCTGATGGGCACTGATAGCTTGCATTGATGAGGTTGCACTGATGGGCACTGATAGCCTGCATTGATGAGGCTGCACTGATGGGCACTGAAAGGCGGTGCTGATGGGCACTGATAGCCTGCATTGATGAGGTTGCACTGATGGGCACTGATAGCCTGCATTGATGAGGCTGCACTGATGGGCACTGAAAGGCGGTGCTGATGGGCACTGATAGCCTGCATTGATGAGTCTGCACTGATGGGCACTGAAAGGCTGTGCTGATGGGCACTGATAGCCTGCATTGATGAGGCTGCACTGATGGGCACTGAAAGGCTGTGCTGATGGGCACTGATAGCCTGCATTGATGAGGTTGCACTGATGGGCACTGACAGGCTGTGCTGATGGGCACTGATAGCCTGCATTGATGAGGCTGCACTGATGGACACTGATAAACTGCACTGATCAAGAGGTACTGATGAGGCTGCACTGATAAGGCGGCACTGATGGGGCTGCACTGATATTCTGAATGGCACCCATGCCGAGCTGCTGACCTCCTGTGTTCAGAATGCATCAGGGGAGCCACTCAGCACAGGACCCAGAAGCAAATGGAGATAATTGGAGTGGTGTCTACTTCAGTGATTTCCAGCTTCCAGGGGGATCAGTCAGGTATGGTATATACATAATTACATTGGTCCAAGCAGGAATAGCTGGAATTCCTCTCTAAATCTGAACTGTACTCGCCTTTACTCCAGCAATGCAGTGTCCCGGAGCTTCCCGCCCGCTGCTGACTTCTTAGAGCAGCTGACATCTGGGTATCAATTGCCGGATCCTTTTATTGGCCAGGCTGAGATGATGGCTGTCCCGCACATGTACAGGTGTTAAGTCAGCTCAGCATTGACAAATGTGTACATTGTGCTGCAAATGTGGAGCTCACTTTACAGGGGAGGAAAGGCAGGTAAGAACTTTAATGCAGAAAAGACATAGCATGTCTCATCTGCATTAAAAATCCTGCCTGTTCACCCATTTTAATATTTGACATAAAGTTCCACTTTAACCACTTGCCCTCCCCTTCCTGACCAGGCCATTTTTTGCAATGCGGCGCTGTGTTACTTTAACTGACAATTGTGCGGTCAGGCAGTGCTGTACATAAATTCAATTTTTGTCATTTTTTTCCCACAAATAGAGCTTTCTTTCTGTGGTATTTGATCACCTCTGCGGTTTTTTTGGGTTTTTTTGCGCTACAAACAAAAGAAGACTGACAATTTTGGAAAAAAAACAATATTTTTAACTTTTTGCTATAAAACATATCCAATACAAAATGTAAAAAAAAAAATATAATTTCTTAATAAATTTAGTCCAAAATGTATTCTGCTACACGTCTTTGCTAAACAAAATCCCAATAAGTGTAAATTAATTGGTTTACGTGAAAGTTATAGCGTCTACAAATGGCGGTATATGTATTGGAATTTTTTTTTTTTATACTAGTAATGGTGACGATCAGCAATTTATAGCTGGACTGCGGCGGGCATTCTGACACTGGGGGTGTAACTAACTGCCACTGACAACTCCAGTGGCACTAATACAGTGATCAGTGCTAATAAAAAGCACTGACACTGTACTAATGACACTGGGCAGGAAGGGGTTAACATCTGGGGTGATCAAAGGGTTAACTGTGTACTGTGTGTTTTACATTGTGTGCTGTTTTACTTGGGAGACATGCTGCTTTGTAGTTCTCTTCTGTGCAGAGTGATGCAAAGCAGCACGTTCATGATGACAGTGGAGAGACCTGTGTTGTTTACACACAGATCTCTCCCCTCTCAGCCCCAGCGACGATCACCGAGTCCCAGCTGGGAATCGCTGGCCGGGACCCGGTGACTTACATCCCCAGCAGCTAATAGCGGCGCTGGTAGGGGGGCGCGCACACCCCCTACCCGGAAATGCAAATGACGTATATATACGTGATTTTGCGCAGCCCTGCCGCCCTGTAGCAGTACGTCTGTTATAGGGCGGAGGGCAAGTGGTTAAGGGCCTATTCACATAGTGCAGTTTCTGTGCAATTCACATGCAGTTCTGTGCGGGCCAATTTCAGCACACTCATTTTGAATCGGCTGAAAGCGCACTGCACCAAAAGTAGCGCATGCATTACCTTTGGAAACGCACTACAATCGGATTGCATAGAACTTTTGTACCATGCAATCTGGTGTGGGCAAACGCACTGTGTTTGCGTACCTGCATTTGGGGAGTCATTATCTTTGCGTTGACACCCACCGCTGATCGCAGGGGCAGTGCGATTGGAAATGCAGTGCAGGAAACTGGCACGGAACGTGGGTTTCTTGCACTGCGTTTTGTAGTGATCGAGCCTTGGGAGCTGAACTCCAGGAGCAATCTGTATGATATTCTAAAGCTGGCTACACATACATAGATGTTTTTCTGTTCAGCTCATAATCTGATTCCTCCATCTACACTACACAGCAGAGACTGATGAATCTCTTGTGGCTATTGTATCTTGATAGCCAGCCAGCCAACTGTCAAATTACCTGAACAGTGCTTGGATCCTTACATTTTTCATTCGAGGGATGTCAGGCTAGGTTTATTATCACTGTAGAAGGGGATAAAAGAAAGAGTGCATAAACCTTGCGCATTACCACGATAAACAATGAATTATTTTATTTTATTTAAAAAATATACTCACAAGTTAGCCATAATCCACACAGGGTTACAAATCAATCTAAAAGGGGAGATAAAACGCGTTTCGAAGGGTGCTCCCTTCTTCATTAGAGCTGGGTTTGGCAGATAGAAACTTCAGTTTGGTAGAGTTCCCGTAGCAAGGAGACATTCAGCCACTGAGTGTCAATATTACAGCATTTCAGCCTGTTTAGTGTGGCTGGCGGTTAAAGCAGTGGATTAAATACTGAAGACCGCCTACAGTACTGTGGCTGAATGTCTCCTTGCTACGGGAACTCTGCCAAACTGAAGTTTCTATCTGCCAAAACCCAGCTCTAATGAAGAAGGGAGCACCCTTCGAAACGCGTTAGCTTTTATCTCCCCTTTTGGATTGACCTGCAACCCTGTGTGGATTATGGCTAATTTATGCCTGTTTTACCGCTACTCTTGTGAGTATATTTCCTAAATAAATAAAATAATTCATTGTTTATCGAGGTAATGCGCAAGGTTTGTGCGCTCTTTCTTTTATCCCCTTCTACAGTTTTATCGAGCTTCCCCAGCTTCATGATAGAGCTGCACAACCTTTGATCACCAGTGGATGAATGCACTGTTTGTTGTTAACGTTTGTTTGATCTGAGTCTTTGAGCGCAGGAGATAATATATGTTAGGTTTATTATGAGCCATGCTAGGGCTGTGTGACCCTTCTGCCAGCTGGTAGTAAACCTTCCCTGTATTTACAATAGTAGACTGATAGTCAGCACTGGCAGAACTTGGTGAGCCGGCAGATGGGTCGCACAGCCCTGCAGCACTGGCTCTCCCAGCACTTACAATAGTAAATACTATTATTGGATCACAACACAATGAATGAGAATACTATTTCCTCCCCCTGTACCATTTTCCCTGCTTTGCTGAATGATGACACTCTCCAACCTACTAACAGAAAGCTGTCACCCACACCAGCTCTGGAATCTCTCCACCAACTGAAATGGCACAAAGTACTAAATATGCTTTTAACCCCGAGTGACAGGATAAAGCCATTTATTGGCTAGTGTCACAACCAGGGGCGGGCTGACAACTCATGGGGCCCCCGGGCAATAGGGGATCATGGGGCCCCTGTGTCCTTGCCCACATTCAAAGCACACCCAAAAAAGCCTATAATAGGTACCAGGGGCATTTCATGGGGCCCCCTACTGACCCCGGGCAGTGCCCGAGTGCTCGAATGGTCAGTCCGTCAATGGTCACAACTTAAATGTGATGTACATATCTTACCTGGAGATCCTGCCAGTAGCAGCGCTTCCCTTTTCAGGCTGTCATTTCTAAGCTGCTAACTTGCGAGTAGCAGCATCATTGTCAGTCTGCGATGCAAGCATTTTCAGTTGGCTTCAGGGCTGCCTACCAGGTCTGCAGGAAGCATGCACAGATCTGATGGGCAGCTCAGTGGCCAACTGAAGGGAAAGCTGACAACACTAAATGGTAGGTAGCGACCAGGGGCATACTGACAACTCATGGGGCCCCCGGGCAATAGGGGATCATGGTGCCCCTGTGTCCTTGCCCAAACTCAAAAAAGCCTATGAAAAAGGTACCAGGGGCATCTCATGGGGCCCCCTACTGACCCGGGGCCCTCGGGCAGTGCCCGAGTTTCCAAATGGTCAGTCCGCCCCTGGTAGCAACTTACTATTCTCTTGGAAAATAGATTTTAAGTTTACATACACTTTAATAGCTATGTATATGGAAATCAACAATAATGTTTTTAGGAACAGATGTGACAAATATAGTGTGTTTGGTTAGCATTCATGTATTTAGTCCCTATTATGGCTCGAGAATCCAAGTAAGTTCAGTGCAAGGTTAATCAGATCAGATGGGGATGTACTAGTTCTTGGGATAACCCGTCTGTATGTCTGATGTTTTCTGTTGTTGAACTTATCCTCTTTAGTTAATGAAAGATCTTTGACTTATTGCCAGGACTTGCTTGTGATAAATTACTGAGACATAAAAGCTTTAAATGTCTCCGCTACCTCACCTGGGGTTTTCCACCAGGGTTAAAAGAGTGGCAGCTTTCAAACAAAGGGAGGGGCCACCCTTTACAAAGTCCTTCTACAGATGTAAGAACTGGATGTATAGATCTGTTTTGGCCTCGTCTGATTGGGTTTTAGAGATACATAATATTTAAAGCAGGGGTCTTGAATTAAAATTCAAGGAGGCCCGGTCACTAAAATTTTCTTTCAGCCAAGGTTCAAATCCCAAGTTTGTGCTATGACTCAGAAAGATTGTAGCCACTGTATGTTTATCAAAAACTGAGAAATGTACCATTTCCATATAATTTCAACAATATTTATTGTCAATTTTCAGTTACGACAAGGGAGCACTCTGATGTGGACATCAGATGACCTCATCGGAGTGCCCCCTTACATCAGGTATTTCCATCAGAGTACCCTCTTACATCAGGTTTTTCAATCAGAGTGCCCCTTTACATCAGGTGTCCCAGTCAGAGTGCCACTTACATCAGGTTTTTGCACCAGGGCTCCCTCTTTTATCAGGTGTCTCCCATCACAGTGCCCCCTTCCATTGTACGAGCCCATCAGAGTGCCTCTTTACACCATATGTGCCCATGAGAGTGCACCTACACATCATATCCATGTGAACAGCATGCTTGGATATGTCCAGTAGGTGGGCAGGCATGGACAGGAGTTGGGAGAAAAAAGGAGCTGCAGGGGGCGGGAGCTGGCAGAAGGAATGAGCTGCAGGGAGCCAGAGCTGGCAGAAGGAATGAGCTGCAGGGGGCGGGAGCTGGCAGAAGGAATGAGCTGCAGGGGGCCAGAGCTGGCAGAAGGAATGAGCTGAAGAGGGCAGGGCTGGGCAGAGAATCTTGCTACAGGGGATGGTGCACACATGTGACATCATTGGTTGCTGGGACACAGGTGGTCCCAGCAACTAATAACTGCTGAGCAGTGGGGATCCACCACTGCAGACTGGTGGGCTGAGGGTCCGGACACAAGCTTTGCTTGGTCAGTGTCCAGACCGCAATCCGTCATTTAATGAAGGGTGATCTAAAGTAAAAGAAGCAAATGTGTGCTGTCCACAGCGATCTGTCAGGTTTTTATTTTTTTTTCTTCATCTTGTAAAGTGGAAAAGAAACAGGTGATCTTACTGGGTACAACTAGCTACAGTTTCAATTACAGTTCTCCATTCAGTGTTATTAGCTACTAGCTTCCTTTTCAACATGACAACACACCTCTGAATTCCTAAGTGTGTGGTGTCAGCTCTGCCTATTTCATTTCTGATGGATTCAGAGTACACAGACCATGCCTCATCTCCATAACCTATCCATATACACAGGCAGAGAACACATGGAGTTGTCAGTTGACAAGGTTTCTAGCAAAATCGACAATATTTTCTTGCACTTACCAAACAGATATAACAGTAGTAGAGTATTGTACAGTGTTAGCCTGTGATTAATGCAGAACATTTGGAGTTTATGGGGTTGATTTACTAATAGACTGTGCACTTTGCAAGTGCAGTTGATCCAGAGTTTAGTAAATTAAGTAAAGCTTTACTTTACAAAGAATACCCAATTATATGCAAGGAAACAAAAAAAAAAACCTAGCATTTTTACTTGCAAATAATTGGAAGATGGAAGTCAGCAGAGCTTCCCCTCATTTACTAAGCTCTGGATCAAGCGCACAGCCTTAACGTTATTAAAGATGCAGGCTTTAGGGATAACTTAGATCCCTTCTTTTTACCAGTAGCTTGGTTACACATATGCGGTTTGTGGTGTGTTTTTAAGGGGAGTGTTTTGCATGACACAAATGTGTTCTAGGGCTTCAACTACAATTATTTTCTTATTCGAATAGTTGGCCGATTATTGCTTCGATTAATCGGATAAAAATCTCAAAAAAAGTTTAGTGTATAATTTAGTTAATATGCAAAGTTAAAGAAAAAGGCAATTTCTTCTTGAATATCTTTATGCAGTGGTAAATATAAATAACCAGCTATATGGTTAAAAAACAAACTATCTAATCCACTCTGAGAATAACAGACAGAAGAGATGTATATACTATTAGAGGTTGAATCTGGTACATATCAGACTCAAGAGATCAAACGTTTCATTCAAAGAAAAAAAAAAGACCCAAAACAGTTTTGTAGATTCTCAGACAAGACTGTGATATAATATTATGCATGGCAGACTGCCTTGTCATAGACAGGTAGCTTGATACTAGCTACCTGCACCTGCTGTCACTTATGCTGGCCATACACAAATCTTTCATTAGAAGTTTTTTGTTTTAAGAAATTCGTTCAATTTTTCTAGTCGTTAGAGGGGTCAAATCAATGTTTGTTTTTGACCAAAGTCAAAGGAATATTTGAAGGGGCAGAATTAAAAACTTTCCTTGAACGTTTAGACATTGCATGCGGTTTTTGTTCAGAAATTACACTAATTTTAAAATTGAATGTACAAAGAATTGTTGTACAAACATTCACGTCCAAAAATCAATATCTAGCGTTAGACATTTAGTAGCAGCAACTTTTTTTTTTGTATCACTTGTCATGATGGGGTTAAAAAAAAAAAGAGCCCTTTATAGTACATATATATATATATACACACCCAGAAGTAGGATATTCAGGGTGTTTTAACTAGGAGTCAGACATTAAGCTATAAGAAGGGTGGTGGTGGGATATAAATCTTTCATATTAAAGTAGTAGTAAAGGCTAAGACTTTTTATGCATGGATAGAATCATTTTAAATACAATACTGGTAAACAATTACTGTAAATTTAATTGTAATGCCTTATATTACCTTCAGTCTGTCAGCCTCAAGCTTCTCTGGGTTCAGATGCTGATCTTCCCTGCATAGAGCCTTTAAAGTGATTGTAAAAAAAACAAACCAGAAAACCCCGAAACGTGTCATACTAATGCAGGCCATACATGATTCGAATTCCGAACAAGTTTCATACAAAAATTGGACCTAAGAATAATCGGCCGATTTTCGCTCAGTTAGTGGGGCAATGGCATCGGCCGATTTTCGTGGTTCCTCCCCATTTCGTTTATCGGGCATGCTGGAAAATTAGCGAAAAATGACCGATTTGTGAAATCATTGGTGGCACCATCAGATTACAGAACGAACGACGTTTCGATTTTCAGATGAAACATTGTTTGGAATTCGAACCATCTATGGCCTGCATTACCTGCTCTGTGAAAAACCTCCTTTTCTGGGATCTCCCACTGGCGCTTTTGGATCCTCCTGCCTTCGGAGTGCCCTAATTCAAGGTAAAAAAAACTCCTGCCTTTAAATCACTTTCTTCATCTGCGAGGACTTTATGTCCCACAAGGCATTGCTCCCCACAAATTCACATTCACATGTTGTCAGGCACTTACTGACATGTATGAACAGTGTACTGAGCTATGTGCGCTGCACTGTATTTTATATGTAAACAATTAATGCACTCTGTATGCTGGCCAACTAATCGATTATGAAAATAGTCGACAACTATATCCATAATCGATTATAGTCGACTATGTTGATTAGTTGTTTCAGCCCTAGTTCCTATGGAGGTGGTTTACATATATACAATCAACCAACGTTGACAGCGTTTTTAAAAAGGGTCCTGTGCGAGTTTGGAGCTGTGTGTTCCGAATTCACAGCTCATAAAGTGTAATGAAAATCAGAGATGAACCAGAAGTGTTTTCACATTCCAAAACGATTCGAAGGTGTTTTTTTGCATTGCAAGAACAAAGAGAGAGAAAGAACACCATTGATTAAAAAAACGCAGCTGTCAAAAAAAACACATGAAAAATGCATTAGCATTGAAGATGGATCGCAGAGGATTCGGACCACAATTGCTACCTAAATCACACTTGAAAATGCAGTGATTTGGCACTGCATATGTTTGAACCTAGGCTTAATGTATAAATCCTGAGAAAGGGATCTTGGTTATCCCGAAAGCTTGCATCTTTAATAAGTTCAGTTAGCCAATAAGAAGGATCGCTTAAACCACAAACTTTCTGAACAGATATAACAAAACACTTTGAGCTCTATACTTTGCAGACCAACATGGACCCAAAAAAGAGAAGGTTATTGCTTTAAATGCTGCAGTGAGAACCTTCCAATGCAGCCGTTCTCAACCATGGTTCTTCCAGAGATTGCTAGGGGTTTCTTGAACTGTGGCTGATTGATCTCTCATCTGATAGTGCCTGAATAGTTTCCAAGCCAGCACGACTTGGCAGAGGCAGTGGCATGAAACCAATGATCATTTTAGCTGTCTACAAGGGTGGAATTCTGACCACCTCTGTATGGGGGTGGTCATTCTTCCCACTGGCCACTAACAGAAGGGGCTTTTTTTTTCTAATGACCCCTAATGAATTTATGTTAGTAAATTCCCCCCTGACCTGAAAATTATTTGAAGGATTCCTCCAGGAAAGGAAGGTTGAGAAAGGCTGTTCTAAAGAAAATAGTATATCCTTTATATTGTGCAAGGGACCCTGGGCACACAGTCGAGAGAAGCCTCAAATTGAGGTGTAATAATGGAGCAGTTCTCCAGCCCTCTGTGTCTTCCAAGTAGGTGCATGCCCAGTGCGATGTACCACTTGGCTGATCTGAGTTATTCCAGAATTTGCTTTTTTCTTACCAATGTTTTATTTATTTATTTAACATTTAAACGTTTACAATAAATAAAATAAAAT